TGACATCTTCAGCAGCACGGCCAAGAGCCATTGGAGTTTGCTCCTGCTCCTTTCTCTAAAAGCAGGCGTTTGCCCTAAGAGGGTAATTCCCGCACCCCGAATTTAGGACTAAGCAGATCAAACATTCCTTAAATATCTACTTTATTTCCAAGTTTTAAATTGATGGCTCGCATTCCATCACTGATCTCGGATATTAAGGTTTGCTTTTGGATCAAAAAACCTTCAGCAGAGATTCTTGTAACTGCCTCAAAAGATTCTGGACAAATATTTCCCTTTAATTGTAATGAGAACTGGGCATCCATATGCCCTACAGAGCCATGGAAAATTTAACTTTTAAAGGATTATTCACAGAGGAAAGCTGCACCAGCTTAGCCAAAGCATTTATACTTCTTCAGACCTTGATGTCCTAAAAACTAGTTGTATTTTGGTTTACTAAAGTTGATTAGGAACAGATTTTTTTAAACTGAAATAAGCCACTTTTAAAATGAAACTTGAACATCTAAAGGGGGTTTGCGTCTTTTCCACACATGCAAGCTGCTTTATTGATTTTTTTTTTCCTGTGCAATATTTTCCTACATATGCCTCTTAAAACCTGCTACCATAAAGACTGAAGCTATCTTTGTACCTGTGCACATCCTGCACTCCAGCCAAAACTCGATTTCAGTATCCCCAGCCTCCTGTTCCCCTCACTGGGATGGTTGTGCTACCACAGAGGAATTACAGAGTATTTTCTCTCCAGTACCTGTTCACAAAAATGAGACCAGACATCCTGTGACCTAGTCTTTTTTTTCACTGATTAGCCATAAGCTGCATCAAATTGTTTGTCCCCGCCAATATCTGGAGAGAAACTGCAATTCTGCAAAGACTGGCACCTTGGAAAATATTAGGGAACAACTGGAGCTAAAGAAAAACTAACAGAAAGAAAGAAATCCTGAGCCAGGAAAATTATGAATGCAAAGATTAACTTCCTGCAGAAATAAAGTCTGGAAGATGAGTTTTCACAAAGAATTGCGAGAAACAAAGCAGGATTTGCCACAAGGTTAAAAAAAAAAATAATAATACAATAGTTCGGTTGAATAATGGCACAGAAGAGGAAACTGGAAAGCAGGATTGCACTGAAGTCCCTCGTTTGCTTTGTGCTTCCCCCACCCCTCGCACAATTCCAGCTCCAGGGAATGCCCAGGCTCCGGCAGGAAAGGTGTGCGGAGCCCGGCAGGGATTCAGATGCACATCTGCATCTCCACCCCCTAATACACCCTGTCTCTTTTATTGCCGCCGAGATTGATTTTATTAATTTGACTTAATAGGACCTCATCGCCCGAAAAACGCTTCTTGTTTCTTTTTTTTTTTCTTTTCTTGCTTTGATTTTTTTTTATTTTTTTTTTTTTAATAAATTCTTTTCTTGTTTTGATTTTTTTTATATTTTTTTTTTAATAAATGGGAAGTTTTGTGAACAATGATAATCTTATTTCCAAACCCAGCCGTGCACAGCTCCACGGGGGGGCTGGGCTCACGCCCGGGGACCGGCCGCAGCCACCGCGCCGGGGCTCGGTTACCGGGAACACCGAGCCGGGCTGGCGGCCACCCCAACAACAACGGTGGCAGGGCCTTCCCAAAAATTAAAAAAAAACCAGCTCTGCCAAACGCCACCGGCTTTTTCCTCCCGTTCCCCGCCGGTTTGGGGACCAACGGCAAAGAACGGGCAATTTTTGCACCGCGTTATAACTCGGGGCTTTAAAACCCAGCAAGGGGAAAAAAAAAAAAATCCTCTGGAGTAGAAATTCCTAATTAGAAGAAACCTCAAATCGGAGGAATAAGAAAAGGCTCTGATTTATAGAGCCCAGCGTCCCATCCTCCGGGCGCTGCGCTGGGCAGGATTTGGTGTCTGAAGGAGGCGAGCGGTTTTATGCAAAGTTCAGGGAACTTTGCTAACATAAACTTTTTATCTTTTGACGATCCTTTTAATATAAAATAATCTCGGGTTTTTTTTTTTTTTCCCTCCCACAATGAAGCAGTCGAACATTAAAAAGATAGCGAGCGCATTTTAAAGATGTTTCCACTTTATAAATCAAGCTTTCTTGGCAACAACATGATTTCTATTTCAATGCTGAGCTTGCTGTGTTCTCCTAATGTCTCCTACAGATCAGTCCTAAGAGGGAGTAATAATCCCCCAAAGTAATTCTCAGCCCTAAATTCTCGATAATTTATAGTTGGCTCGTTCTGTGGAGCTCTACAAAGAATGAAACAAATGACTCCCCCTCTCCCCCCCCATTAAGTTATCAATATTTGCCTTGTTTATACAAAAAGGCTATTTTACACCATTGCCATGGAATTAACGCTTCCGCTGAGCTTTACATTTCCTCTCCATTGAGTGAACTTGTCATTAAAGTCACTTTTTTTTGTGTTGTTTGAAATTTAAAAATCAGCTTTCGGTTTCTTTTCGTTTGTGCCCCTTGAGGTCAGACAGACCGACATTTAAGTGATTTCAACCAACTGCATTCAGGGACATCTCTGTGCCTGCTGGGAGGGGGATTAGAGTCCTAATTAGTGCCTTGCAATTAGCCGTTTTCCCTTTTTCCCCCCCTCCCGCTCTAAATGCAAGTGCATACAAATCTCCATTAACCATCTCTTTTTTTTTTTTTTTAATTGGGTCAAGAGGAGGTTTATTATTGGTACTCCTTATTTAAATAGCTCGGGCAAAATAAAATCTGCACGAAGTAATAATTTTCATTTCGTCATTTGCATAAAGGATCAGGGCACAGCCTTGTTTTGGGGGTTGCCCTGGTCTCACCACGGACACGAGTGGCTCTGCCTGCCAACCCAGGGACTTGAGCGAGCGCGGAATTTAAGCCGCTCGATTATCCCTGACGCCCTCACGCTAATTATTTCGTGCATTTTTTTGCTGTCGGTGCGACCGGAGATCCCGGCCCGGGATGGGGAGGGAGGGAACCGGGTCCGGGTACTGGCAGCATCCATCCATCCCCCCCCCGACCCCTCCGCGGTGGGCTGCGCTCCCGCGGAACGGGCTGCGGGGCTGGGGAGCCTTTGGAGTCACTGCTAACACTGATAAAAATGTCGCCCTTTATTTTGACACCATTTGCAGCTGGACGCAGAGAAAAGAAACGACGCGGCTGTTGTGTTTCACCAGCATTTCAGCCATTTCTTTTTTTTTTTTTTCTCTTTTCTAATTAAAAACTATTTACATATTTTTAAAAAAATTAATAAGCTGTTAGCTCGCTGGCGCTGCGCTCATTTTCACAAACGGAGGCTATGGGTCGGTAACTTCAAAATCAAAGTTTTGTACATCTTGGGGTCAACCCCCCCCCCATCCCTTCGGTCCTACCCCCGCGCTCCTGAGAGGTGACTACGTGTGTCCCGCCAGCTCCACCGCACAAAGAATGCGGGTCTGAGCCCTATCCATATGGATTTGTTTAAACAATCCACCTTAAGACTTACAAAGAGATAACAGGCACATTTGGGATGCTTAGGGTCTAGAATTTAGGTAAAGATATTCCACGTCCCGCACAGACACACACTCAGATACTATAAATTAAGGGTGAAATATTTGAGGTCTTGATCCCCTAGTCGGAGCTGACTTAGGTAGCAGACCCATCAAAAACGAATCCTGCTCCTCACATCAGCAGAAGCTGCAGAAGAAACCCCAAGAAGAAGAAACCAAGAAGAAACCCCTTTTACACACCGAAAGGCAGCGTGATAAGGACGGAGTTACCTGCTCGGTCACTTCATCAACAGCCCAAATAGCAAAATTAATTGAAACTCCTCGGGACATACACCCCCTCTCCAGGGAGAATAATGGGAATATCTCGGTTATTAGAAAAAAAAGCTGGCAACTGCTGCAGGGAGGGGGGAAAGGAGAGAGGGAAACTGCTCATCGCTCCCCAAATCCGAAGCCAGGGGTTAGGGTTTGGCTCTCAGCAAACAGGGGAGAAAAGACACACACACACACCCAAATCCTCCAGCTCTCCTATACGAAGGATCAGGAACCTCAGGGAAAAAAATAAAAAAAATAAAAAAAGGTTGTATAGATATTATGGGATTTATTGGGTTTTTCCTGCTTGCTCTCCATTATTTGAGTGTTCTCCTCCACACGCTGTAAAATCAGCAATCGCAGGACATGGCAGAATCGCACAGCTCTGTTAAAATTAAACGGATTTTAATACTGGTATTTTTAATACCTGGTATTTTTTCTTTTCCAGCAGCAGCGATGCCAGCCCACCGCCGCAGAAGCCCAGGGCAGATATTTTGGTGCCCACAGTTGGGAGCTGGCTAGTTTTGGTAGGAACCGGCTGACCCCCGGGCTGGTGACGGTCTGAGGTTTAATTCTGATGGTTAATTATCTGCCATTAATTCTGCCATCTCTCACCTGAGCAGCCCGGGTGGGAAGGGAGGCGCAGGGATGGGTTCCCCAGGGAAGCAAAGTCCCTGCAAACTGCTGGGCTCCCTCCCACCCGGGCCTGGCTCCCATTTGGTAAAAAACATTGTTTATTTCCAAGGAAAGGCAGGCTTTTTTCTTCTACACCTAACAGGATAAAAGTGGTACCTGTCTCTCTTTCAGTTTTGAGACGCAAAGCAGAGCCTAAACCTTCGTATTGCCAAAATTTTGGTGCAAAATATCCCAGCACTGTGTTAAAAAGGGGAGTGGGGGGGGGTTGCTTTCGGGGAAAAAAAAAAATAGAGCCACAATCATACTAATATCTTAAAAAAATAAGTAAATAAAATGAAGAATTACCGAAGAGAATTGGGACTAAACATAACAAACGACTCCACAACTCTTCCTTGCACCCACAATCTCCTTGTCACACTTTAACACATTCACAGTTTACACCAAAAAAAAAAAATCTTACTGAAATCTGCAATCACAATAATTTTTTTAAAAAAATGCCACTGATTGTAGTAACTTTGCAAAACCCAGTCTCGGCAAACAGGGACATTTCATACGGATCAGAAGCAACAGATATTTGCAGGGAATTTTCACTAACCTGCCTGCTTTGGTTATTATCATTTCCGTGCCAGCTTCATGAAATTTCTTCCATAGCTCCTTCTCATGGAGATAGACTTTGATATTTTCTATTGTCTGGAAAAAGAAAGATAATGAGAAAAGCAAGAAACAACTGAGGAAAACCTGGGAGAGGGGCTGGGAAGGGGCTCGGGAAGGGCCGTGGGGCTCGGTGCAAAGCCACCCCGGTCCTGCCTGTGCGGGAGGAGGATGGAGTCCCAAAAATCCCACTGCCCTTTGCCAAAAATAAGAGAAACAAACTGAGGCCGGTTTTAATTGCAGACTTTCACATCCAGGCGCGACACTGAGGCCAAAGAGATTTTTTTCTTTTTTCTTTTTTTTTTTTTTTTTTTTTGCGGACCAGACGGGCTCCGCTCTCGCCCTCTTGGGCCTCCCAAAAATCGGCGCCCAGGAGCATCCGCGGGGACACCCGGATCCGCTGAGTAACTCGCGCATCCAGGGCCGCGGTTTCTGCGCGGGCCCGTTCCTTTCCGCGGGATGCCGGGGACAACGCGGAGGCGCCAGCCGGGCGCCGGGGGGCGAAGGCAGAGAAACCGCGATGAGCGGAGAGGCCGCGGGCCGTCCGGCGGTTTATTTAACGGGAAAAAAAAAAAAAAAAAAAAAAACAAAATAAAATAAACAAAATTAACCAAAACAAAATAAAACCCACAAATAAGGAAACCCACCGCCGCCCCGGATCCCGCTCGAGAAACGCGGTCGCGGCTCCGCGGCCCTACGGGCCCCGACGGCCGCGGAGCTGGGGCTGGCCCTTCCCGACCCTCCACACCGGGCGGGAAAAAATAAATTAAAAATAAATAAACAGAGAAAAGTAAAGAAAAATGTTATTTCCTCGCAATCCCCCCCCCCCGCCCTCAAGTCGTGGCCGAGGGAGATGCGCGGTCGCGGAAAGCCCGGCTCCCGCACCGCCACCCGCGCTCCGGGCCGGGCCGGAGGGGAAGGAGAGGGCCCGAGCCGTCGGGCGGGACGCGGGGCCGTACCTGCTCGGGGTCGGGGAGCTGCGGGCTGCTGAGCGGTGTGCTGCTCCCCCCGGCTACGCCGAGGACGGGGGAACCGGCGGAGGAGTCCGCATGGCCGGGCGCGGGGGCTGTTGGAAACCCTTCCTCGGTTTCAGACAGGCTTTTCTCCTGGAGCATTTCCTTGAGGGGGGGGGAGAGAGACGCACCGTTAGCTCGCAGCACCGGGGGGGCCACGTCCAAACATCCAAACCCCCCCCTTCTTTCCCTCCTTCCCCAGCCCCGGCCACGGCCACCTGCGGGGTCAAGGCCTTCCCGGCTCGGCCCGCGGTCCTTTTTCAGACGGCGGCGCTCGGCGAGACTGGGACGTGACACCCCCGGCCCCCGGGGGAAAGCCGCCGTGCCCGGGAGAGCCAAGCCGGGCCCGCCGCCCCCCCGGGGGAGCCGCCCACGCGTGGCTGCCCTCCCGCTTGAGGCCCAAACAGCTCATCTCAGATGTGGCCGCAGCCCCCTACACCCCAACCCCAACCTTGACCCTTTCTCCTCTCCACCCCTCCGCACCGGCTTTTTGCCACCCTACGGGGCCGGTACCCGTCGGGGAGGGCGGCCCGGTGCTCTGCCCGGTCCCGTCGGGGCTGCGGGGGTTCCGCGACGGCGGGGTCGGGGGCCGCGGCGAAACGCTGCGGCGGAGCCGGGCGGCGTAAAGCGGCGGAGTGGCGGGCTCCGAGATAAAAGGGCCCCTCTTAAACTTGGACGGAGACTGGGAAAAGCCAATAAAGATAAGAGCTGACAGCTCCGCCGGGGCTGCCGCGCATCAACCCCGACTTTTACAGCGCGGAGGGACGCGGCCGCCCGCCCCGCTCGACGGACGGACGGACGGACGGACGGACAGCCCCGGAGAGGAGGAGGCTGCGGGGTCCCGGCCCCGGAGACCGAAACCGGCGAAACGCTGAAAGGCAGCCGCGGGCCTCGACGGAGCGCTCCTCTCTCCCGGTCCCGGTGCTCTGCCCGGGGCGGCGGCGGAGGAGAGCGGGGCTGAGCCCCCCGGCTCCGGGGGAGAGCTCCACGGATTCCCCGGGCGGGAGACGGGACGGGGGCATCCCCAGCCCGGGAGAAGCGCGGAGGTTGCCGGTGCTCACCGCGTACCGCGGAACCGGCCGAACCGGGGCAGAGCAGGTGGGAGGCGGCGGTGGCCGCCCCCGAGGGCCCGGCTGCTGCCCGCGGACAGGGACCCCGGTGCTCCCGGGGACGGACGGCCGGGGAAGCAGCGGGGCAGGCGACGGCGGCCGCCTCGGCACAGGCCGGGGGGCTCAGCGGGCTGTAGGGAGCCCCCGCACCCGCGGACACACACCCTCCCCCCAGCTCCCTCCCGTCCTTCCCTCCGCACCCCGGGAACTCACACGGCCGGCCGGGGGGCAGGAGGCGCAGCGGGGGGCTCCGGGCTTCGCCTGGGGGCGGCTGCGGCATGAAGGGCATCCGCGGGGCAGCGCGGTGGCTGCGCGGGGCGCTCAGGCCGGGCGCGGCTCCGAGGCCCCCGATGGCAGCGGCGTGCGGGGCATCCCCCGCTGCGCGGATTCACTTTCCCTTGATCTTGGCGGAAAATGTTCCATAAAGATCCAGTTTGGGGCCTTTCGACTCCCTCCCTCTTTGTCTCCCCCCTCCGCCGCCCGGGAGAGGCGGTGGGGAAGGCCCGGTCGGGGGTCTGGCTCCCGGAGGGGTCCGAAGGGGCTCGCACCGGCAGCCAAAGGGCCAGCGAACCGCCGGGCTGCGGATGCGGGTCTCCTGGAGAGCCCTGGGAGGGAGAACAGGGCTCCTCGGCCTCCCTCAGTCGCGACAGAAAGCCCCGGGCCTTGCCCCAGGAGCGGGACGGCCGCAGACAAAAGCGGCGGCGAGGCTGGGCCACCGGAGCCGCCCCGAGGTGAGCGCGGCGAGGGGAGAGGAGCTCCCGGCCCCGCACACCCCCGCACCCTCCGGCCACGGGCACCGCCTGCCAAGAAAGCCAAACCGAATCCCCCAAATCAGGCAGGGAACCCCCTGGGAAGAGTCCCCCGGTGCTGTCGCGACCGAACGGGCCACTTCAGCTCTGCTGTCGCGATTACACTCACCCCACCAGCCCCCCCCCCCCCCC